CCCTCCCTCCCTCTCTCTTCTCCCTCCTCCTCCCCCTCCCTCCCTCCCTCCTTCCTGGATGCTGTGAGGAGAGCAGTGTTGCTTAGCCATGCTTACCTGCCTCTCCACCAGCCCACAGTGATAAGGCCAAGCAGCTGTGGACCAAAACCTCTGAAACCAAAAGAAAGCTTTCCTTTTGCAAAGCAATGAAGTTGGGTTGCAGAGGCTGGAGGGGACAGCCCTTGCTATAAAATCTCTCACCCTCTCACCCTAACTGTGATGGAGATACCAGACCTGATGATAAAATGAAATTCTAAGACTGTTATGATGAAGAACCAAAGCCTGGGGGAAGGGTTCATCTTCCTAGACTTTGTAGCTTTCTGAACTCTGTAGGAATGGAGCTACATCACTTAACTTGCTAGTATAAATTGTAGGTTACTACGCCAATGAACTCTTGCCTAAACTATGACCTCATTGGCTTAGTTCTTAGGAATTTAGCTCTTAAATCTCTCTACTGCTTTCCATAGTGGCTGTGCCAATTTGCAGTCCCACCAGCAATGTGTAAGTGCACCTTTCCCCCCCACATCCTCACCAACATTTTTTATTGTTGCTTGTATTCTTGGTAATTGCCATTCTGACTGGCGTGAGATGGAATCTCAGGTAGTTTTATTTGCATTTCTCTAATGGCTAGAGATGTTGAACGGTGAGCTAAGCAACTCAGTGAGACCCTATCTTTAAATAAAGTACAAAATAAGGCTGGGGATATGGCACAGTGGTTGAGTGCCCCTGAATTCAATCCCTGGTATCCCCCCAAATTAGCCGGGGTTCTCTAGAGGAACAGAATCAACAGAAAGCATAATTATAAAAATGGGAATTATTAAGATGGCTTATGCAACCAGAAGCTGGATAGTCCACAATGGCCATCTGCAGCCTAGAGAGCTGGAAGAACCAGTAGCTGTGCAGTCCAAGAGGTTGAAGCCTCAGTACAAGAGGGATCAATGGTGCTACCCTAGTCAGAGACTGCAGGCTTCTGGAAACTCTCTGGACAATTACTGGCACTATCTGCTTAGGAAGAGTGAAGAATCAAGAGTCTGATGTCCTCAGGTGATGGCAGCAGCAATCAACAAACCATTCAAGAAGAATGGAGCTTGTACCTGCTGCTGCTCCCTTGCTCTTCCAACTTTTATTCCACCCAAGCCATCATCCTATTGGACAATGCTGCCCATGCTTAAAGAGGGTCTTGACTTCAGTTGGCTATCCCACATGCCAATCATTCCTAGACACACCCTCATTGA